ACACTGTGATTTTAATTTATCATATCAAGCTAACTTTTATTTCTACTTGGTCCCTCAGTTTATTTTGTTTGATATTTTTCATCAGGAAAGAATGCAGCAGTTTATGGAGCTAAAGAATATGTCTTTAAACTGATAACCAGGCAATGAATACTTACCATGGTTTTAGGGCACAAGCTCTGACATGTTAGTTAAGATTTACCTTGAACTAAATTAACCTTGGATTTTTTCTGCATAAAAAAGATAGAAATTTATTTTATAAATATAATTAGAATACTGTATGCACTGTGACCTTGTATTGAATTTATATAGTAATATAGTGGAACATTACATTTGCTTAGAATAAACTTCCAGCCATAATTTAACACTTTTGGGGGTTACCAAATATCATTAAATTGTGACTCATATCAATGGCCCCTGGAGAACAGGTAGAATGAGTTAACCCCAATGGAGTAGTTGTGAGTACCAAGCAGAGTTCTCTAGTACAAGATAGCTTCAAGAATGTTGATTCTGTATCAGGGTGATGGTTTCAAATTAAAGTTTTTATAGGTCAAAATGATCTTGCAGAATACGCTCATATTTGAAGCTAAATCCGACAATGGATACCCACGGTCAGATGTAGAACCACATGTTAAATGATAAGAAATGTTAGCCAGTCTTCTCTAGCAGTCAACAGTCTGGGTAGCCTTTGTAATTATAAATAACTCTGTCTACATATGTTTTAAATAAAAGGTTATACATGGGCTAACTGCAAAGAATTAGAGAGACTGTTGTTATTTGTCATAAATAAAAGTTCTCAGTCATGATGATTAAAGAATGTTTCCTTTACCCATGGTAAATACTCAGATATGCTAATTAATAAGTAAACTAAGATCACAGTGTGTGAGTTTCATAAAGGGGGATATTACCATAATCTTTTCCTACTTTTAGAAAGGTCTTCAGTTAAATTATCTGGCTTAGAATCCAGCATTTAGAAAGGAGTCTTGACAAGCATGCATGCCAGTCAGAGTTTACAGGAACTGGTAATTAAATACAAAAATACAAGTTTTTAAAGAAACTTTTGGATTCAAGGGATATATGTACATGTTTCTTACTTGGGTATGTTGCATAATGATGGGGATTGAGCTCTTCTAGTGTACCCATCACCCAAATATTCAACATAATACCCAATGGTAATTTCTCAAGCCTCAGTCCCTATTTCAATCTCTGTCTTTTTTGGGATCCCTCTTGTCTGCTATTTCCATCTTTATGTCCGTGTTTACCCATTGTAAGTGAGAACATGCAATATTTGATTTTCTATTTCTGAGTTAGTTCACTTAGACCAATGGCCTCCAGCTCTATCCATCTTGCTGCAGAAGACATAATTCCATTCTTTTTTATGACTGCATAGTATTCCATGGTGAATATATACCATATTTTCTTTACCCAATCAACCACTGATGGACACAGGTTGGTTTCATGACTTTGCTACTGTGAATAGTGTTGTGATGAACACATGAGTGCTGGTGTCTTTTTTACATAACGATTTTTTTTCCCCTTTGAGCAGATACCTAATATTGGCATTGCTAGGTCAAACGGTAGTTTTATTTTTAGTTCTTTGAGCTATCCGCATACTGTTTTCCACAGAGGCTGAATAAATTTACATTGCCACTAACAGTGTATAAGTGTTCCCTTTTCTATGCATCCATGACATCTATTGTTTTTGACTTTTTAATAGTAACTGTTCTGAATGGTGTAAGATGATATCTCATTGTGGTTGTAAGCTGCATTTCTCTGATGATTACTGATGTTGAGCAATTTTTCATGTTTGTCAATAGAAAGATAAAAGTATTTAAAGATAGAAACCACAAAATGGCAAATATTACCAAGTTTACAGTTCATGGTAGAAAAAGAGCAGCATTATCACAAAGACTTCTGTATATCTTCAGATATCAGCATAGCAAAAGTAAGATGTAAAATTACTATCTTATGAAACTCAGGTGTATGGAAATTTCTGAAATTTCAAAATTTCATTATTTGGGAGATCAGAGCAAGTCAGAATAACTATTATTTTTGCTTTTTCTTTAGGCAGCAAGATGAGTTCTTTAGTTTTTTGCTGGTTTTTAAATTTTGTTTTTTCTTAGTTTTGCTTTTCTTACTATATGTGAAGAGCTTAGTCACATTGGCAATAGGACATGGTTTATGTATGGCCAATGTAGTGTCATTATTCCCTTAAGATATAAGTTCCTCATTAAAAATGCATCTTTAGCGTGCACATTTCTTAAATAAAATCTTAAGAATGTCACGAATTTCCTGAGTATTGTCTTAATTGGATAATCCCTTAGCATTTCATTTTAGACATCAACTAATTTAGGAGCCCATGTGGTTAATTAATTTTGATATTTGAAAAGGCTGAAGTTGTAGAATATGAAAAGCTCTGAGCCTTCTTATAAAATTCCCACCTGACTTTACACAGGTAACTAACAGACTTCTTTCATCCAATGTGTTCAAGCCCATATTAACAACTATTGCAGAAAATATCTTCATTTGTCTGTGTTCTTTGTCCTAATAACTGACGCCATCGGCCACCCAAATTATTCATGCTAAACATCTAGGAGCTGTCTTTGCCAGGGATGGTACTCAATCCTGACTGCAGTTTAGATCACCAGGATAGCTTTTAAAAACAGGTATCAATGTGCAGACTCCATCCTGAGGCCATTAATGTTTGAGAAGTAAGGTCAGTGTTTAAGCCTAGCTGCCCTAATGATTCAAATGAGTAGCCAGTGTTAAAATCACTGTCTACTGAACTCATGGATTAGAGTTCAAGTATATTCCGCAGTGGTTTCCTTTAGCCAGCCAGTGTTTTAGATAACCAGCAACCGGTGCTTTTAAATAGGGCCTATACTCTGTGTGTACCAGTCTCCACCACTCTCTCTTAACGCCACTGGGGTACATTTAATTTACCCACCTCATCTATGAAGGCTTTTGAATTCTAGTTCCTGCCATAGACTTCTTGGTTCCCCCCGCCCCCTCTTTCTTTCTTTCTTGTTTTTGAGACGGAATCTCACTCTGTCGCCCAGGCTGGAGTGCAGTGGTTGATCCTGGCTCACTGAAACCTCCGCCACCCAGGTTCAAGCGATTCTCCTGTCTGAGTCTCCTGAGTAGCTGAGATTACAGGCGCATGCCACCATGCCTGGCTAACTTTTGTATTTTCAGTAGAAACAGGGTTTTACCATGTTGGTCAGGCTGGTCTTGAACTCCTGACACCATGATCCACCTGCCTCGGCCTCCCAAAGTGCTGATTGCAGGTGTGAGCAACTGCACCGGGCCTTCTTGCTTTCTTTCAACACCAAAGCTTGGTCCCTGATATAGACCTCTTGGTATCTTTCAACACTAGAGCTCAATCCTACTTGGCCCTTCATTACTATAATTTAGTCTACTTTCTCTCTTCTCCAACTGCTATCATCTCCACAATCATCTCTCAATTAAATTGTGGCAGTCACTTCTTAACTGACTTCCCAGCATTAATCCATCAGGTCCCTGCTAATCAAGTCACTTACGGCCTTAAATCCATTCACTAGTGCCCCGGTGCTAAGAGATAAAAGTGACATTTTCTAACCTGGCATATAAAACTTTCCTCGTATGATCACTGCTACCCCTACAACGTTCCAGCTTCATAGTTTATCATGTCTTCCCTGTTCTGCTACGTTCTTACCAAAATTCCCACGGATACAACATCCCCCTCCCTGCCACCCTTAGCACTCCAGACCCCACTGATGTCCACTGTACTGCAGGCAGTCTGAGCTGTTGAATAGTCCCTAAGCAGGCATGATCACTGCCTCGTAACTGTGCCCTCCTGTATGCTGTCTTCTCCTTTGCCATCAGGCCTTTCCTGTGTAGTCTCTCCTGCTTATTTCTTTGACTCTCAGATGAAATGTCAGTTCCTTTAAGAAGTCCACACTGCTGTTCCTCACTGGGGGCATTTAAGCACTTTCTCCATGCTGTTATACCCCAGCTTTTGCTCTTCCAAGCACTTTGACAGCATATTTTAATTGTGGGTATATGTCTATCTAACTAACTGAGGTAGGCAACTATGTCTTCATGTATGTTCTAGGTCAGACTTGTAACTCCTTTTATGATTCTGTTTCCCATGAGAAAAGGGATTCAGGCTCATAGTCTCTCAGGTTTTCACCAGCTCTAAATCTGTGCTTATACCAAATTAAAAATCATTACAATATCTAACAAAGGACCCAACTCACTCAATAAATATTGAAATAATGATTTAATTTGTGAATGAAGTAGTCTTCTGTTTTGTTAACCTCTACTGGATTCCTATAAACAACTTTGCATTTGACATTTCTGTGTGCGTGTGCGTGTGTGTGTGTGTGTGCGTGTGTATGTATATATATATATATATATATATGTATATACACACATATATGCACACATTTAGCTTTAATTAAACCATTGTAATTTAAGTTGGATTTATTTGATCAGTGGCAACAAACAATTTAATAGTAAAAAAGAAACTTTCTATAATATGTAATCTGAAAACACCCACACCAAAACACAAAAATTATAATAATACAGATAAATATGAATAATTTGGAAAATGCAAAAAAAGAGGAATCCCACTTCACAATCCAATTATCTGAAGAAAATTATAATGTATTTCTAATTTTCCTCTAGCTTTTTCCCCCATGTATTTGTTTGTTTACTGTATATTGCCTTTTTTTTTTGCAATTATGAATTTTATTTTTGATACTAGGTAACATTTGGGCTTCTATTTAACTATTAAACATGTCAGTTTACTTGTAGAACAGAATCAATCAGGAACCCAGTGGTAAACATATAACTAAATATGTAGACTGTTTTCAAGAAGTCTCCTAGACAATAGGAGAGCCTGGTAGGCAGGCAGAAGAGTAGGTTTCTGCTACATCCACCTGGATTGTCTGGTGGTTGGGTGAAAATGTGACCTCAGAAATGGGGAAGAAGTTTACTTAACAGAAAGGTATGCCAGACAGACAGCATATGATCAGCTTCAGAGTGGGCTAGACAGCAGGAATACAGTGTATTCTGGCAGGCAGGTAATATAAATGGAAAAAGTGGCCACAGCCACCATGATAATTCACATCAATTTATTTATGGTACCTACTTTGTGCCAAACACCATGCTGGGCACTAAAAATTCCGTGATAAATAAGATCCAGTTAATGATGGATTTGCAAAAGTAAATACACAATTATAACACTGTGTGGTAAATATTTCAGAGAAGTCCTAAAGGAGAGATGCAGTTTGGAATTTGGCAACCTCAGTTGCAGAGTAAGTCTGACTGCAGTTTTCTGAAAGGATCTCAGAGGAATTAGTGGCTTGTGGTTCAGTTTTGGACTCTGAAACTTAACAGGGAAGACATGAAAGCTAACCTGAGGTTAGGCCTCAGGGAACCAGGTGGGAACTCGACAGAAGTCTAGTTTTTAGTATTAATATTAATATTAGCCGTAATATTACCTTATTGAGGCTAGATGTCCAAAGTCAAGTTTTCCACAGGATGAGTTTCTTTTGAGGGCTGTGATGAAGAATCTGTTCCATGCTTCTCTCCTGGCCTCTGGAGGTGTGCAGGCAAGCTTTGGGGCCTTGTAGGTGAAGCTCTCCATTTCCTGCCTTCATCTTCAAGTGATGCTCTCCCTGTGTCTCTGTCTTTTCACAGGCTATGCATTCCCTCTGTGCATATCCTTATCTGTGTGCAAATTTCCCTTTTTATAAGGACATCAGCCCTACTGGATTAGGGACTAGCCTCATGATGTAATCTTGGATTGTCTCTGTAAAAACCTTATTTCCAAATAAAGTCACATTCTTTGGTTCTGGGGGTAATGACTTCAACACATCTTTTTGGGGAGACACAATTCAATCCATAACAATATCACACACACACACACACATACACACACACACACAAATCAGAGGGATGTTTTTAAAAAGGGTGATTCAGAATGATAACACTGATTTGCCTAGAACTCCTTCAGTTTTGGGGAAACAATTGCAGGACTGGAATCATAGGCCAACAAGGGATTTAGCTGATGGTGAGGCTCAAAAGTCAGAAAGCAGACCATTAAAATGTATTTACATATCCTGAAGCCCTTTATAAAAATGCTCTTAATGTCCACAGATTCATTTAGTCATCCTGTACTGCTTAAACTTTTACTTTTGTCCTCTCTCAGCTACACTCAATTAACTCCTTAAAGTACAAAATATTTTTTCTTTTCCTCTCTGCAATCATGAAAGATAAACCTGGATAAGGAAACCAGAAGAGTGTGCACAAAACTATACGTCACAGCGTCCATGGTGAATGTTCACTTATGAGAGTGATTATAGTTCTTACTACGGCTATGTAGCCCCAGGCGAAGAGGAAATTGTTCATGCAATTAAACTGAACTTGAAATTAAAACTAATATTTTAGAATTATAAAATCTATTTTGTGATGTTACACATAAGTATCATATTAGCTTTACATCTTTGGGTAATTTGCCAAATCTTCACTTTAATAAGTAAATAAAAGTGCTTTTATTATGTAAAAGAAAGTATGTACACTATTGAAAGGTAGATAATGTGCTTCGAGAATTCCATCAGCAAGTTTTGGCTCATAAGAACAAGTTTAAAGTCTGCACAGAACGTGGGACAGACCTGGCACCATAGTTTTGAAGAAAGAGTACTGGTTTAGCAATTAGATGACTACATTCTTTTCCCAGTCTGTCATGAACTCTTATTAGCATGTGTATTGTTATCCATGGACAAAGGAGTTCAGGGTAGGGTTACCTCTTATATTCCTATTAGCTCTGAAATTGTGCACTTGTGTTAAAGTTAAAATTATAAATTCTTACTTTAGGAAAAATGAATAATATAATATTTAAGAAGCTTTTTAACTCAATATTGCATTTCTATTAGGTTCATGATTGTCTCTTAAAAAGCATAGAGATCATTTTGGCTTACCACGAAACTGAATTTCTACAAATTAGTTACCAAAACTAAAACTAAAAAAAAAAAAAACAAAAAAAAGAACAACAAAAAAAAAACATAAACACAGAGACATACACATTAACCAGGAGATCGGGCTTTTTTTTCTTAATGGTGGCTGAAACAGAATTTTTTTTTTAAGGGAAGATGAATGTGTATCATGTTCTTTCATTTAAAAAATTACAAATTAAAACATAAATATATATGAATTTTATGAAGCTTTTAGAAATGTTCATCTACTTAAGGCCTATGGACTATGTTAGTTCTAATACCCACACCCCCCAAAAAAGCATAAGAAATATGAAAATGAGAGGAATTAGTTAAAAGAAAAAACAGCAAAATTTATTACAGGTAATGATGCTCCTCAAAGTTTTTTTTTTATTAATGAAAAGGTGTAATGCTTACCTGCTTATCCATCTGATTTTTTTGGTTGGGTACTCAAGATTAGTCCTATGCAGTAGTCTAAAGCTAAGTATGTTTTAGAGTTTTGGTTAAATTTATTTGTTAACTATCAATTGAGGAATGTAGTAGCCTATATGAATCAGCACTTTAAAAATTTTGGCATTACAATTTCTGATTTTCAAAATTAAAACAAGATGATCAAATAAAGAACTCTGGCAACCTGATTCCCATTATTTGGCCTTAAGGAGGTGTTTTTCCCTGTAAAAAAAAAAAAAAAAAAAAAAAAAAAAAAANAAAAAAAAAAAAAAAAAAAAAAAAAAAAGACACACACGCACATATACAGGGTCACATTATAAGCGCTGATATACTTGAGAAAAAGACATAGTCTGCCTGGCAGCTGCCAGGGTCAAAAACAAAAGCACAGAGCACAGCTTGGGAGGGCTGGAAAGGGGCCAGATGGGAGGGTGAGAGATGTGCTTGGGTCCAGTTGAGCTAAATGTTCTGGGCAGGGAAAGGTCAGAGTCTGGGCAAGGCCAGGAACAGCAGGACCATGCCAACTCAGATGCCAGACATCAGGGTCATTCCAACTGGTGGATTCCATTTGTTTTTAATTATCAGCATACTGAAGGGACTTTTGCTTCTTGTAAATAGGATGACAAACAAATTAAACTCTAGCAGGTGCAAGAAGCTTATTCTGTCCTGAGCTAAAAACTGTCCTGGCTGAGATATAACTTGCCAAACAGGGCTGGTGACAAGGAGGTACCCTTCTTCCCTATGAAAACTCCTGGCTGTGGGCTCTAAGCAAAGAGATGCACAGGCAAATGCAACTGTTGTATCAGGTCATTTTTATTTTAGAGTGATTACTGAGGCAGTTACTGATAGTTGCCTTGCTGTGTTGAAAGTCGTTTCAAAACTTGGTATTTGAGCACCGTCTTGCCAAAATTTGAAGTTTCTGTCCAAGAAGCATCAGTGGCTGTCTGCCATTATGAACAGCTCCCTAGGGCCCAAGGGTCCAGCTGCTTCACTAAGAAGTGTGATGCCATTTCTGAGGGGGATAATAAAATGCTAGCCTACAGTACAGGGTCTGTAAATCAACACTTCAACTAGGAGGAACTAGATTTCTCCCTAGGGTAACAGGAATGAGGCATTACTATGCTAATTTGAGTCCAAATTCAGTCCCTTCCCTCTCTGATTTTGTGTTAATTCTCCCGTTTATGCCTGTGCACACGTCAATCTGAAAATACTTTAGTGGAATGGACAACCAGCTGTCCAAGGTGGGTGAGTTCCCATTCCTTACAGAGGCAGAGACACAGATTAGGTTTTCCCCGGGGGGGTCTTTCCAGTCAGGACTCTGAAAGCACAGCTTATCTCACACAAACTTGGTTCCCCCCAGAGAAACTTTAAAAGATGCGTTGCTTTTGCCAAGATTTTCTGTTGGTTTTTTGCTTAATTAATAGGGATTCAACTGAACCAAAATAAACCATTTGTGGTCCATATGAATAGTGATTTATTTCCTCACCTTATTTTGTGAGGTATTTATATTGAATTTAGGAGCTCAGAAACACCTAAAAGAACCATTAGATGTGGAAAAAAACAACATCTCAATGTTTCAAGGTGAGTTTTTTTCCTCCTTTTTCTCAGTAGATTTTAATTATATGAGAAACTTTAATGAATTGTCAAAAATTTTCACATAATGGAAGCAAGCAGTACCTATTATAGCTGTACCACATCATCCATAAACAAAATTTAACAGAAGATAAAACTAGCTCTTAGAATATTTCAGAATTTCACTAATTCAAAAATATTACAAAAAGTCTACCATGTGAATGGGACAATGTGATGACCTGGAAATGAAAAAAAAAATAAAATAAAATAAATATGGTGTAGCCCTTAGGATTTCATTTACTGAGCAGTCAAGAGATATGAACAATATCAAGATTATTATTAAATTGCTAAAATAGAATTATGTACATGGTGCAATTGGTGTATGGAATAAATAGAGATCAAAGAAAACATTACAGAGAAGGAGGCATTTGAACCAAGATGAAAGAGTGCATGGAATAGTGAAAGGAAAATGAATAAACGTGGGTGCGGTAATTCTAGTTGGAAGACACATACAGGCAGAGACACAAAGGCATCATGAAGGCATGTGGTGTGCTTGTGGAATTAGTGGCATTTAGTTATAATGAGAATGTAAAGTTCAAGGAGAAATTCTTTGTAGATGACATTGCGTTGGTAAACATGGGGTCAGTAAGCAAATGTCAAATCGCTAGAGCAGTAAAGTATTTTTATATTTGATATAGCACCTACTATGTGACAGATTTCATGTTAAGTAATGAGGAGGCACTAATATTTGCAACAGAGGAGTGAATGATATCAGATTTTTGTGTTAGAAAGCTTATGATGAAACATAAAAATCTAAACATTCAAAAGAAAAGTCAGGATATCATAATATTATGATAGTTATAATAATATGCGAAAGAGAGACACCCTGCTTCAACTTCTGAATTGTTACTTGGTCTCTTCCCCTTTGCCCTCCTAGTCTCTTACTAGGCTAATTTCTTCTCATTTCTCACACTCTTACATGTCATTTCTGCCAAGGGCCCTTCCCCTAACAAACAGATTAGATTAGGTCATTTTATACATCAACATTCCACCCCGCATATTATCTTCATAACAATTTGACTCCCTGCAGTTACCTATCTTTGTAATTATTTGCTTAGCATCCACTAGCCATTAGCTTATTGACATCATGGAGACAGGAATGAACTCTATCTTGTTTAGCAGAGTCTTTAGCACATAGCAGGTGTTATTCCCATATTCTTGTGTAAATAAATGATAGGGAGAATAATATTGGATAAAAGAAAATGAATACGAGAAATATTTAAAAAGCATGATTGAAAGAGCTTGGTGAATGAATGAAAAGGAAAAATAAAAGAGAAAGACAAATTGGGATGAGTCTCATGTTTCTAGCGTGGATAATGAATCAGAATTATGACTAAGGCATGGGGTAAGATTATGACTTAAATTTTAGCCCAGTTGTAATAATTGATGGGATTACTGCTCATATTAAATTAAATTTTATTTTTGTTGAAAAGATTTTGTATTTTCTAGTCTTATTTCAGTATATTTTTAAAAACTTTTAGTGTGGAATGTTTCTGTAGAAGATTAACACATACTATTTAGGTTGATTGTTCTTTGCTTCAAGATCAGAAAATTGTATCTCTGTATATTTGTCCTCATATTTCTGGCATTCATCCAATATCAAAGCCAGGCTCCTTTGGCATATAGCATGATAATTTTTTAAAAAATGTTCAATTCTTTAAATTAAAGATTTGGAAAAGCTGACGGGTATTCTTATCTTTGCAATCAGACTTGGTTTGGGCACTAACTAGTTTGTGCTTAGATATGAAATAAAAATAGGACTAAGAAATAAATCTATAATTATCTTGAAGTTTAAACCTCTAACTATATAAAATCTCAATCTAGTTAAAGGAAGATTTCTAAAAGTAGCAAATAAGTTTTTGACATCAAAAACTGCCAGGCAATCATCTCCTCATTTATTCTTGTTATTTAAATGAAAAGTATTTATTTGTTTCTTTTCAGTTACACACAAAGAAAAAGAAAAAGAAAAAGTAAGAGAAAAAGAAAAACCTGAAAAAAAAGGTATGAAGTTATTCTTATTACTGTTATTATCTTATTATTGTTATTATCTTATAATTCTTATTACTGTCTTACTACACTGAGTCCTTTCCCACTGACTTCCTGCTCTTTACATTCAGATTTTAGATGACCATGTATTTTCACAAATTAAATTAGGATTATTTTCTCAGAATAGAATCTAAAAAAAGGACTTTCTGGATTGAGAGAAATAAAATACTTAAGACTGTTGAATTCAGTTACCACTTTACTTTCCAGAAATGTTATGTCAATTTTTCTTCTGGAAGTTTTGAGACTGCCTTAGCCAGCAATGAGGATATTAGAGGACATTATATTAGAAATACTTGACAGTTTGATAGGTAAGAAAGTAGATCTCATTATTGTAGCTTGCATATTTTGATTATCTGTTAGGCTGCTTTAAATTCTAATTGTTATTTATTTATGTAGAATAGATATTAAGATCTAATGGCTCAACACATAAAGATACTTTGTGAAAACCTTCCTCTTACCTTGCTCCCAGCTTCCTGGTTCCCGTTTTATGCCAAACCCACATATTCACAGTAAATCACTCATGCCAATTTTACATGCATACTTCCAGAGCTGTGTTATGTGTTTTCCAGATAATACATGTCCTTTTCCTTCCCTACTTTTACATAAAATCTAGTATATCCTATAATCCAACTTCTACAATTTAACAATACATTCTAGAAATCTTTTCATATCACTATTTTCCTCATTCTCTTTAAAAAGCTTCATGGTGTTTAAAGGAGAATATGCTCTTCTACTGTATTTTTTCCCGATAATCTAGTTTATTGTTACAGATAATTTTATTTTTTATTTTATTCATTAAATTCTTCAGTTTTAGGATTTCTCTTTGGCTCTTTCTTATGATATCTATCTCTTTACGGAATTTCTCATTCATATCATGGGTTATTTTTCTCCTTCCTTTGTATTGTTTATTTGTGCTCTTTTTTCTGAGTTTTCTTAAGATTATCATTTTGAACAGGAATTTCGTAGATCTCCCTTTTCTAGAAGACTGTTACTGGAGTGTTATTGTGTTCCTTTGAATGTGTCATGTTTTCTTAGTTTTTCTTAAATTTTACTTTAAGTCATGGGGTACACGCACAGGGATGTTACATAACTATACATGAGCCAGGTGGTTTGCTGTACCTATCAAGCCATCATCTAAGTTTTAAGCTTTGCATACATTAGGTATTTGTCCTAATTCTCTCCCTTCCCTTGCTCCTAACCCCCTGACAAGCCCTGGTGTGTGATACTCCCCCCGAGTCTATGTGTTCTCAATGTTCAACTCCCACTTATGAGAGAGAACATGCAGTGTTTGGTTTTTTGTTCCTGTGTTAATTTGCTGAGAATGATGGTTTCCAGCTTCATCGAAGTCCCTGCAAAGTATTAACTGCTAACTATTTATAGGTGGAAAGAGTCAAATATGGTTTTTAGTGATGTATAAATCTTTGTGTGTAACTGTTCACACTCACTGTCCGTTTCGCCAAATGATGTGTGTGTGTGGGTGTGTGTGTGTGTGTGTTTTGGGTATGTGTACCCCTTAGCCTATAACTTCTTTTCAAATATTTTTCTGAGTTTGTTTCACAGTTAATGTTATGCTTTCTGTCCATGTGAATGGCCGTGTGTGAGTTCATATATGTTTAGATTCTTGAATTTTTAGGTGGTTATGTATGTTTATATTATCTTGTCTTGTTTCTGGCTTTGAATTCTCATTCAAGAATCAATTCAATAGCCACTAATATTTTCCTCAACTTTAAAACAGATTTTTTTGTGTGTTTGTATTGTTTTTTTTTTTAAGACAGAGTCTCACTCTGCCACCCAGGCTGGAATGCAGTGGTGCGACCTCGGCTCACTGCAACCTCTGCCTCCGGGGTTCAAGGATCCTCATGGCTCAGCATCCCTAGTAGCTAGAACTACAAACATACGCCACCACACCCGGCTAATTTTTGTATTTTTAGTAGAGATGGGGTTTTGCCATATTGGCTAGGCTGGTCTCAAACTCCTGACCTCAAGTGATTTGCTCACCTCAACCTCCCAAAGTGCTGGGATTACGGGTGTGAGGCACAGTGCCCAGTCAAAAAAGATTGTTTTATATTATAAATTTAACTTTAATTCCTCAAAAATCCACTTCAATGTATGATGTGAAGTAAGATTGTAACTTAATTTTTGCTATTGTTTTAGAGTGGATTGTGTCTAGGATAACTGGGCTAGACTTCAGCTGATTTAGGCATCCAGAGTATGCATAGTCTGTTGAACTTTTTTGTTTTGTTAAACATTCCAGTTAGGTAGAACGTGTTATGACATTTAGTAATCAGATCCACTGAAACATGTTTATATATTATTTATGGTATATTTACACTTGAAAATATCAAAATCTCATAAAATCACCATCAAAAAACTCACTTATGTAACCAAAATCACCTGTACCCTAATAACCTATGGAAAAAAAGAAAATTTCAATTAAATAGTTGTAATTTTTCTTCATGTTTACTTTGTGGCAATTTCCATGAACTTCAATATAGCCACCTCCTGTCTCTGTTCTAGAAATAGGTGACCATTTCCTGCCTGCTGTTGGGTTAAGGAAACTTATTAGCACCAGGTTCTGCATATTCTGACTCAATGAAATAATCTGCTATTTCTTGTGATTTTTTTTCAAACTTCACAGTAGCTAAATGTTTTCTGTTAAAAAAAAAGTTGGGATTTTTTTTTTGCCCTTAAATTATAAGTGCTGCAAAAAAATGTATTCAAATTGAAAAGCAGAAATAAAATGCTGCATTATAAGTGCTTTTTTATTTACTGTATGCCAATTAAAGGATGTTTCTATTTTAGGAGATATGTTATTATAATATAGTCCTGCGACCTTGTGTGCACAGTGCCCTGCTTAGCCTAGCATAATGCTGCTTCTGTTAACATTGCCTAAGCTATTACCCATAATCCCAAGTGGTAGTGGAGGTGGCTGTGGGCAGGTGTGAGTGGTGGAGAGGCTGAAACTCTGGAGGAGGAGGCACCTGCTCTCTCAGCAGCTCTGCATCTATCAAGGGCACTTGGTCTTCAACTGAACATTAGGCTTGCTGAGGCTTAAATCATCTTTCCAAGATTCTGAAGGACACTATTCATCAACTGTATTTAAAAACAATAGATTTCTGAATACATATTTTAAGCATTTTTCAATGATGTAAGTAAAGCTGATTTATATTATTACTATTCTTCTTATATAGTTGTAGAAATGGAAATATGTGGAACTAATTTTTCCTCTAGTAATTCAATATCCAGACTTTATTAACTACTTAATTAAATCTCATATTTTACTATTTAATTTTCATAGTTTAATTACCATTGTTATTCTTGAAAAAATAGTGTGTAAATATTGAAAAATGTATGGTGATTTGGAAAACTACCAAACCACACAATTTAATATATTTGAAATTTAAAAATAAACATAATGATATTTTTTGACAAATTCTTATAAAATGTTTTCACTCTCAGTTTGTCTTCCCTGAAAGCTTTATCTATTTGAAATAATAACTTGAAAAAGAGTGGAACTGATTTTCAAAGTGCTTTCTACGTCTTAATGCCTACACCTTTACATTGGTACCTCTTTATTTCTGAATTAGACTTATTAATGTGATAAATTTTCAAAATATTACATATTAGATATTAGCGCTTATGAAATTGAGGTCAAAAGAAAGCTTGGTTTTGAAATCTATTAAAATGTGTACTAATGTAAAATTTTCTGTTTAAGCAACTCACAAGGAAAAAATTGAGAAAAAAGAAAAACCAGAAACAAAGACAGTGGCAAAAGGTAACTTTTCAATTTATTATTTCCATAACTGAATATTTTGAAAGATTAATTTTTGGGTAATGGATAGTTGTATATTTGTAAACTTTTATTATTTTATTTACATTAAAAAGTTAATTTGGTCTTACATTAAAATTTAATATCTAAAAGAAAAATTAAACTGAATACTTATAATAATAGAGAATCTCAAAATGTGAGAGGAAAATGAAGAGCTTCACCATATGTGGTAGATAGTATTTTGAGCCCCATAACGCTCATTCACCCCTTGGTGTCATCCCTGTGGTTCTGTTACATTACATGGCAAAAATTATTGTTGCAGAAGTAGTGAAGATTGATCTAAAATAGGGAGGTTCTCCTGGATTTTCCAAGTGGGCTCAATGTAATACCATGAGTCTTTAAAAGCAGAGAGATTCCTTGCCTCGAACATTTACTATTTCTTTGCATTGGGAGCATTCCAAATTCACTCTCTAGATATTTTAAAATATATAATAAATTATTGTTAACTATACTCATTTTATTTTGTTACTGAGCACCAAGAACATATATTGAGGAAAGGACAGTCTCTTCAATAAATTGTAATAGGAAAGCTGGATATGCAAAAGAATGAAAGTAGACCTCTACCTTTCACCATATAAAAAATTAATTCAAAATGAATTAAAGACTTAAATGTAGGTCATGAAACTACTTGAAAAAAACATTGGGGAAATGCTTCAGAACATTGGTATGTGCAAAGATTTCTTGAGTAAGACCTCAAAAGCACAGACAATCAAAGCAAAAATAGTCAAATGGACAACTTCTGCATAGTAAATGATTTTCTTGTATCAAAAAGAAAGGGTTGGCTGGGCATGGTGGCTCACACTTGTAATCCCAGCACTTTGTGAGGCTGAGGCAGGTGAATCACTTGAGGTCTAGAGTTCATAACCAGCCTGGCCAACATAGTGAAACGCTGTCACTTCTAAAAATTCAAAAATTAGCCAGGTGTGGTTACGCACATTTGTAATCCCAGCTACTTGGGAGGCTGAGGCAGGAGAATCCCTTGAACCCTGGTGGTGGAAGTTGCGGTGAGCCAAGATCTTGCCCCTGGACTGTAGCCTTGGCAACAGAGAGAGACTCTGTCTAAAAAAAATAAAAAGGTCATGCATAAATCTTCGTCAATATTTTCAAAGTTTGAGAACTGAGAGTACCTTAATAATAACCCAAATATATTTATTAGTATATCACTTTAATATTATATATTTTGGCATATTGAATAACAAAGTTTTTCTGAATTACATTTAGATAAATTTAATTTCTCCATTAGTAGAAAAAAATGGATTCTAATCAGTAATTTAATCTTATTCCTTATATTTAAATTGCTCATGTTTTAAAATATAGGTCTTATGTAGCCAGAAGCCTCAATTCAGTATTTTTAAGAAACTACCCACTTATGTAAAAATTAGAAGTTACTTTTAAGATTTAGTTTGATTATCTACTAAATGTAAATAATGAAATATTTGCAGCAGATATAGTTTTAATAAATTTTCCATTAGATAACTAAACATTTTATAAAGCAAATATAAACTACAAATTGAACCATTTTTAGAAGGTAACATGAATTTACTTTCAAGATTAAATTAGAATAAATAAACGTAATTTTATTTTGTTTCTCCTGTTTCATAAATGCAAATGAAAATAAATTTGGTATATCTATTTAATTTATTTCATTACATATATATGAAATCATATTTGATAGCTGTATGAAACCTAGTAGACATTTTTAAGATCATATAAATTAATTACCTAGTTTAACATATGAAGAAAGTGAACTCTAGAGAGAGAGAAAAAATTTTTTGCCAGATCATAAAACTAGTATGTGATTGGGTTAAGACAAAAATCCAGGTGAAGTGAGTATAAATTGAGTTTTCTTTATAAAAATAATTAAATGCAGGTCTTCAAGCATCACTTTGTTTTTCAAAAAATTTGCTAAATACTGTATTAGTTATTTATTGCTTTGTAAAGCATTACCATGAAATTTGAGGCTTAAATCAATGCACATTTATTATCACACAGTTTCTGTGGATCAAGAATCTGGGCATGGCTTAGCTTAGGCCTCTGTTTCACAATCTCACAAGGTGGAACAGACTGTTAATTAGGACTTCAGTCCCATCTGAGGGTTCAACTGAGGAAGGATCATTTTCAAGTTCACTATATGGTTGTTGGTGAGATTCACTTCCTCAAGGACTCTTAGCCAATCAGTTCTTAGCTGGATGTTGGCCGGGGAACATCTTCAGTTCCTTGACACATGAGTCTCATGAACATGACAGCTGGCTTCATTAAACCTAATGTGAGAGAAACAGTCAGGATGACTGAAATTACAATCTTATCTAAACTAATCATTGAAGTCACATTCAATCACTTTTGCCATACACTGTGGGTTAGCAGCAAATTCCTAGGCCAACCCATATTGAAGGGAAGATGATTGCACAAGGATATGAATGCCACAAGTTGGAAATCGTTGGGGGCCATCTTGAGTCAGCTTGCCATAAAGACTTTCCATTTACATCATTATTCTAGGGGAGATACACACACACATAGACATTCACACACAAGCATACATATATGTATGCATATGTATATATAAATATATATATCTGTTTCTAACATGTATATGTATATGTGTGTATACATGCTTGTATACAATATATATTTTTAATTTTATTTTATATGTGTATGTATTATGTTAGTTATAAGAAATTAATAGGAAGTGTTCTTTATATAATAGGTGATTTCTGGTAAAACAAAATAAGATTAAAAAGGCATAAGCCTTCTATGTGACATTAAAGATAGAAAAAATTATGAAGTACCTTTGAAAGGTGTGACCTGTTAAAGTAGAACAGCCCTTTGAAGAGCTGTGATTTCCAGAGGCACTTACATACAATGCAGCATGTTTCTTGCTCTGTTGCAAGTACTGCTTGCTGAAGGGCAGCCATTGGTTAGAACATTTCAGGGATTCCTCCTGGGGAAGAGTAGACCTTTAATGTCTACCTTAATACAGGTATAGGACCCCATAGTCATTGAGAAAGCTAACCTATTTATGCAATTCATTAAAAGTAGCAGACACAGGGAAGAAGAAGAAGACCATAATGAATAGAGAAGTTGAGTGCGGTGAGCCAAATTTGGGTCAGGCTAATTGATGTCAAAGTCAGTGTAACCTTCAGACCTTCAGATGTCTGTGTGTTTGATGAAATGGGAGAGGTTATTGTTGCCTTGGTCACTTTGAGGAAGACATCACTTTTACTTGGTCTGTGTATGTGTATATCTGCCCTTACATGTCTCGCAAAACTTTTTTTTATATCATCTTTTTAGCTTAATATGAATAACCATGCAACTTACTGTGATTAGAAATTGGGTTAGGCATTCTGATTCTACTCTTTCTACTTCTGACTCATTTAGTTGCACCATTTTTGATAAATGGCTTTTTGATGCTTAGATTTTTCATATGTAAAATAATAATGATATAGTAATCCCTGCTGTTCATTAAACTCTGGGTAAGTTCTAGGGAAACTCCAAGAGCTCTAGACATGTAGATTATGCAGATTTAATATTAACAATGCTTACCTACTTATTTTGCAGAATTCAAAGTTCTTTTGCTCAGTATTACTTAAGTCCACAGCTTCCATAGAGGAAGAAGCAGATACAGTGGTGATTCTTTTTTTAATGCAAAGAAACTGAAGCAGAGAGAAATAAAGCAGTTTGTAGTTCTTCATGAAATGAAAGATAAAATTTGTTATTTTCTAACTCCAAAAATGTATAGTATGTTCGTATTTTTACTGAGAGATACTGTTCTATTTAACACTTTGGTATCAGACATTCTGAATCTGATTCAGTAGCTTAATGGCTCATGTTAATGCAGAGATTGAATCAAGTATGCTGATGTCATTTTCTGATTAGAATATTTTGTTTTCCATTCGACAAAAGTCACGAATAAAATGCCTTCTTAAATAAAATGGGGTAGTTTGAATACAACATGGCAATCCTTTTTGTTTTTTAATTCCTTAATAAAGTCCATCACTTAGATTGTCTCAGTGAAAAATCAGGAAAAACATTTTGGCACAAAATTGAAGAATATCTACTCAACTTAAAAGTAAATCGAAGTTGGACTTTGCTTTGGTTTCATGACATTTTCTTTATTATAGTCATATCATTTAGTTCTCACCAATTTTTTTTCCCAGTATGAGGCAAAGGTATCTATTTCAAGAGTGAAGGTAATTGAGAAGTGTCTAACATAGGCAGAAAATATTTTGTTATTTTTATACTTAAAGTCAATTATAATGAGTTTGCTATATATGTTGTTCTGCCTCTTAGAAAATAATCATTGCCCACTTATAAATTATAATGGCATTAAAAATAGATCTGAATTTCACACAACTTTAATTCCATAGTATTAAGGTTAAATCAACTGTAAATTGCAAGGAGTGGATAGCTGTCACTTAGAGTAAGCAAATATAACAATTTCACACAAATTAGTATAAACAACAAAAAAAAGTTGGCAAAATTAACAGGTTTAGACAAGTTTATTTCTAAACACATATTTACATATGCAGTCTCTATATCACTATATAATACACATGATACGAGTACAGTGGAACATTTACTCTCTCCTTCATCAAAGCTGCTAATCCAGTATTTATTTACCTTGTGTTTTCTCTGAAAAAGCATTGTGCTAGACCCTATGGTGATACAAAAATGAATTATAGAATTCCTACCCACAAGCACTCTCTGTCTGGTAGGGAAGACAGATCAACAACCATCTGCAATACAAGATATAAAATAGATAATAAAATGTATACTTTAATAAAAATTCAGACAAATGGAAGTTTTGGGGAAGACATTATTAATTCAAATGGGAAAGACTTTTTTTTTTTTTTTTCATGTGATTGACCATGAAGAAATTTAATACCAGCACTTTGGGAGGTTGAGGCAGGTGGATCACTTGAGGTCAGGAGTTCAAGACCAGCTTGGCCAACATGGTGAAACCCCATCTCTACTAAAAATACAAAAAATTAGCCAGGCATGGTGGCATGTGACTGTAATTCCAGCTACTCAGGAGGCTGAGGCAGGAAAATTGCTGGAACCTGGGAGGCGGAGGTTGGAGTGAGCTGAGATTGCACTTCAGCCTGGGCAACAGAGCAAGACTCAGTCTCAAAGAAAAAAGAGAAAAAAATTTAAATATGTGTAAAATATAAAAAATGTAGAGAATGCAGTCTGACAATATTTGAAAAAATGGAAAATACAGAAAATATTCAAGTGAAAGAAAACAGTCCAGTAGAGGCAGGAACTTTTGGAAAGATGCCATAAGATGGCAGCTAGGAGGAAGCCAGATATTGCAGGGTTTTAATTTGGCTATCCTGAAATTTATCCAGATATTTTTATTATTATGCTGATTTTTTAGAGCTCCAGCAACTATCTGTGAGCCCAGGTCAACGTAAACTATCTAGAAATGTTTTGGGGGTGAACACATAATGAATTGTATGAGATTGAGGTGCTATTGACTATTGCAGTGAAACTTTTGAAACTTTCTCCCCAGACAGACACTAATAAACATTTCAGCGTGGAATTCTAGAATGATGTCAATTTAAAGTCATCCGAAGAAAGCTGCTGGTTCCAGTCATGGAAATGTATGAGTTTACTGTAGGAAAGAACAGAAACCAGCAAAGGAGATTTAGAAATGATTTATAGGAAGAAGAAAATCCCTGAGTGTAGTCACAGAAGCCACAAAGATGTTGAAAACTTACGGATATGTGAAACCCTGTCTCTACTAAAAATACAAAAGTAACCAGGCATGGTGCTGGGTGCCTATAATCCTGGTTACTTGGGAGACTGAGGCAGGAGAATCACCTGAAACTGGGAGGCGGAGGTTGCAGTGAGCTGAGATTGTGCCACTGCACTCCAGCCTGGATGACAAAGCAAAACTCCATCTCAGAAAAAAAAAGAGAGAGAGAGAGAGAGTTTATGGAGTAATTCGGTAATATTTGTATGAGAATTTTATGATTAAACAACATTGGATAATATGTGTATCATAATTCTCTTTCTTGAAAATTCTCAATATACTTTAGCCTTGAGAAAGTTCAAGCTAAAGGACCAGGTTAGCTTATTGTATCCAAATGACTTTGGTCATGAGGACATCAATATCTTCCAGTAAAGTATCTGAAGTATATGAGGAACAGTGCTTTGGAAAGTGCTGGCGTAGTCAATTAAGTGTGGTACCACAGATGATTTTTGTTTTGCAATCTAACCAGCATTTGGCATGATCATTTTCATTCTCTCAGTGGGACCTTCTAATATTATCTTGGCTTAGCCTGAAATCATCCTTTGGGTACCAAGGTCAATAAACCATTTTTTCATAAAATTCTTTAACATGAGTGACAATAAAGCCCACATAGTACATTAGCAAATGACATAGAGGATTCTATGTCAATACATTGCAGTAGAGTTGCTGTGGTGTATAGTGGTTATCTGTAGTCACAAACAATAAGTAATGTCCAATATGAAGCATCTTTTATGAACAATTTTCCACAAATAATTTGCTGCATTGTTACTGCTTTCTAAAAGATGCTTGAATGATCCACAACCTAATTCATTTGCATCCCAGTTCTCTCTTCCAAAATACAGATAATATCAAATTAAGAATATGTGTATGTAAAAAAAATATATATTCTAATTTATATATGTATTTTTATATATTTTTATTTATTCTCCTTTCAATTTCCAAACACAGGTTTAAGGGCTTTAAAAACTAGTAGAATTATCGCTGACTTAAGATAAACAGGAGCCAATATCTCAATTTCTGCACTTTCAGTCTTTCCAAGGCCAAATCATTAGAGACTATATCTTTCTCAGCTTTCCTCTAATAGATTTCATTGGTTTATTTCTAGTAGTCAACACCAATGCAGATAATTTTACATTTGAATTCCTAATTGTTGCCTTTAATGGTATTTTGTTGGCGTTTCAGTTTCTTGAATGACCCTTAAGATTTTTCAGTTATGGAGCAAAATGATTGCATACTTACAAAAGGAGAGGACTTCACTGGGCTCTTTGATATGGACATTGTCTTTCACTGAACAGGCCTGTGTATCCATCCCCTGCATATTACAAATACCCCCTTGTTGACATACTAAGTTCCTATCAGCTTAAAAAATAGTGTTTTCATGTACAATTAAAAGCCACAACACTTTAGTCGTCTATTTAATACAGCACTTCATAAACTGTATAAAACCCTGATAATAGTCACAAGTGTTTAAGAACAGTATTTTTCTATTGTTTTCCTTTCTTCCCTCTTTCTTTTCCAATTTTTCTTAATGACCTAGTATAGATAAAACATTATGTTTGTAAATAAAAAAAAATATTTCAACATCTCTTAACTTCATACAGAAGAGAAGAAAAGTAAGACTGCAGAAAAGAGTGAAGAAAAGACTAAAAAGGAAATGAAAGGTGGAAAACACGAGAAAGTGAAGCAAACAGCTGCAAAAGGAAAAGAAGTACAGAAAACACCATCAAAACCCAAAGAAAAGGAGGACAAAGAGAAAGCAACGGTGTCAAAGCATGAACAGAAAGGTAAACACTCAGAGCAGGAGGCTGCCGGAGGTTCTAAAAGAATATTGGGCAAGAAGCACATGCGGTGAAATTAAAAGCTGAAAAAGACCAAAATCAGACTTCAAACGGGGGTAAAAGATATTAAAGTAAATATATCAGGAAGGAAATACAGTAAATAGGGAATTAATATTTATTTATAAAAATACTAAGATGTGTTCACATATCTAAAGGGGCATCTTGAAGTATTTTTAAAAGGGGTTTGGAGTTAGCATCTGGAATCACATAAAGATTAAAGATAAATGTTGAATTTTTGAGACATGAAATTTCTATTAAGAGTTGAAATGAAGACTGCATGTATCACACTCTTTGGAGAAAAGTGGTCTCCCAAAATGACAGCAATCCCTAAGGAATTTATTCAGGAGTACATGTTCGCATCATATAAATACTGTGAAAACTATCCATACATTACTGTTGCATTGACAAGAGCACATCATTTAAAATATAAATCAAATTATTAAATTCATTTAATAGGCAAGATGTTACAGAGAAGACAGCTCTCAAGATTCTTTTTCAGTTTCCATTGACTAAATTTCTAATGTTAGAGAACTCTGAATGTGACATATTGTGCCACTCTTCAGCAAGAGTGGTGTCAAACTTATATCCCCACTTTGCAAAAATATAGCACTTCAGTGGAGATGGACTATAAACCTGAATTTTTTATGGAAGGGTGCTATGTGAATGTACAGAGCTGAGGTTTTAGAAGGGCAACTGAGGGTCTTATTGCATCGCATCTCTGGCACTTGTTGACTCTTTCCTTTCCTAAGTCCATTCCTGACTTCAGGTTGCAATATAATCCTGGGACACCTTCACAGAATATAGGATCTAATATACAGGGACTATTCCTATAATTGATGTTTCTTGGAGCCATTGCAAAACCAACATTTTCCTTCCTTGTAGCAGTTTTAACTAATGTTACCTAAGGACTATATCGAAGAATTGGCTTCTATTAGATTTTAATTTAAGAAATCTTACAATTTTGTCACAGAGCAAGCTATTTGGAGAACAAAACTGAAGGTAATTTTTCCTCATTATAAGGTACAAGAGATGAAATTTGCAAGCCGTTTGTATTTTATCCACTCTGTATTTTTATTTTTTCTCTTGAATTTGTATTTGTAAACTTTGATTCATGAGTATTATTTGTCAACTCTGATTTATATGACAAAAGATACATATTTTAAAAATACGTATTTTTAAAAGGAAATAAATATTTTTTTCTTTATTTAGTGATCCACAAACTTTTTAATTTAGATAATATTAATGTATTTAATATTTTAATATATAAGTGACATTAAAACTTAGGAGCTCTAAAACTTTTTCCAATTTTCAAGGTGATTATATCACCATAAAAAATTTAAAAGTTAATTATTACTTCTATCAAAATTATGTCATTAATAAAATATTTTGGTAGACAAAAAGGATGAAGTAAAGAAAGATAAAATATGTTGAATATAATAATAAAAACCAGCAGAATTAATCTTTGGATTCACTGATCTGATTACTTAGATCCTAAAATCCTTTACACTTTAGATTGCTGTTCAAAAAGAAAAATAATCACACAAAACCAGTTAAAACCTACCAACTATATTCTAATTTTTAACCATAAATACAGAATGTAAAAATTGATGCCAGTTGTATTTGGAAATGTTAAAATACTTATCTAGCAACTAGGAACATTAATGTATTTTTTGATGTTCGTTTTTCGTATCTTTGGGGATTTGGGAGCCATATTTTATTGATAAAGACTCATCACCAGAACACTTTAAAATAATGTTTATTTTCCAGGTCACAAATATGTATTTCATTTCTATCAGTAATCAGATTTATTAAAGACAGCTTTGTATTACCATATCCATTTTCGGTCTACTATTTTTATTTCTATGCAAAGAGCTATTTATCTATTAAAACGACATTCAGATATCATTTAGAGTTAAAAACAAAAGCACAAATGTGATTTTATCATTTAAACAATTATAATTGCTAAAGCATGTCTCAGCGTTGAGAACAGTTGCCATTAATTATATAAATGTATCATTAGGAGAGTAATCAAAAGTAACCTCTATGGCAGATCAGACATATAAATATGTCATTTTATTTTTTTACTAAGCAAAGTTTTAATTAAGAGCATTTTTTAAATTAAAGAAAATGAATTACATTATGGTTTTCACTAAGCAAGATAAAGATACAGTGTCTTTTTTTCTTTTTAATTTGGGAAGCTTTAGTTTTAAAATTTTTGTATTGATTACTTAGTGTAATTTTTGAGTTAGCTCTTTGGCCAAGAGAATACTTATTCACATAGCTTAAGTTAGACCTAATATGTTTGAGGCATTCTTTTAACGTAGATTTTTACATATTTCTTTTTAAAGAAATAGGGCTCATTCTTTTTAAAGAAGTAGGTCCTTTACTCACTTGGAAACAGATTTTTACATGGGGCACATACTTACTAGTAATTAATTACATAGTATACAGGTGAATATATTCAATTTAGTTACTCTCAATATTGTATATGAAAATAATACATCTCTCTTCCTGCTTAAAGCATTAGAGATAGGATATATATGTATATATATACACCTACCATAAACACACACAACACACACACAAATCTAGTTTTTATAAACCCATCTAAATCTGTTTTCAGAGTAGGAAGAGTTGGCATAATCAGATGTTGCTCCCTAGTTTTCTGATGACCTCTGGGAAGTCTGAGGAGAAGGTAAAACAAATTTTCCAGCTGCCACACACTTTGCTGGTTCACTCATTCTTTATTTATTTTTTGAACAACTATTTAAATATTTGTGGCAGGCAGAGAAAGTATAGCTAATGTGAATCTGTTACAGAGCCCTGGACCACATGTGTCCCATCCTCATTAGAAGTTTCCTTAAAAAACTGTTATTTTGTTGACATTCTGAGCTCAGAATGTAGTTTTCCTTTGTTACCACTCCACAGGGAACACCAACTAGGCATCATTTGAATGACATCCATCACTGCCCCTGAGGATAAAGAAGGAGAGAAATGTACAGCATGTGTTGTTCCAAGAAAAATGTTCATTTGGGAAAAAAGTACTTAAATGAGCAAATTTAACGTTGTATAAATTATGATCTCAGAACTATGAAAGTTAGAATGGCAGGACAATTTAGATTTTCTTTATGAAAAGTTTTCTGCTGTAATTTTTTAAGTTAGATTTAAAGAAACATTTTTATAAAACAAATCTTCCAAAATCAGGAAGGCTTGGTTTTTCTGTATTCTTAGATAGGTTAAGCAGATAAATTGGAAACTTCCCAACCCATACCTACCTAGAATTCTTATACATTGTTAAGGTCAATGCCAAGGACAGGTGGAAATGGGCATCCTAATTTAAAATATTTGAGAATCCCTATCAGCTTTGACAGGAATGAAAACATCTTTCTCATATTCCTATGATATATTGATGCCATTAGAATACAACAAGATCACAGCACTATTTACATATAACAAAAACCTTCTAGGTGTTGTAGCAAATAATTTTCTAGATTAAAAAATATCCTGTGAATTCATAAGAAATTTCCTATTTATGATTAGAAGCTCACTGGGCTATTGATTTATTAGTTAAATGAATGATTTTTGGATCTAGGAAATGTAAGAAATATAAGTAAAGTACAGTTGTCCCACATATACTGTGGGGGATAGGTTTCAGGATTCCCTGCAGATACCAAAATCCGCAGATCTTCAAGTATTTTCTATGAAGTGGACTAATATGTGCATATAACCTATGCACATCCTCTTTTATACATTAAATCATCTCTAGATTACTTATATACCTAATGCAATGTATTTAATAAGTGCTCTGTAAATACTTATACTGTATTATTTAGGAAATAATGATAAGGGAAAAAAAGTCTGTATATGTTCAGTACAGCACAACCATGGTAGCCATAATTATTAATATGTGTATGTGTGTGTATATATATATATATATTTAAGACGAAGTCTCACTCTGTCATCCAGGCTGTAGCGTAGTGGCACAATCTCAACTCACTGCAACCTCCGCCTCCCGGACTCAAGCCTCAGATTATAGGCGCCCACCACCATGCCCAACTAAGTTTTGTATTTTTAGTAGAGATGGGGTTTCACTATGTTGGCTAGGCTGGTCTCGAATTCCTGACCTCAAGTGATCCTCCCGCCTCAGCCTTCCAAAGTGATGGGATTATAGGCCTGTGGTTTGTTGAATACTCAGATGTGGAACCCAGGGAAATGGAGGGCTGACTGTACTTTGATAATATTTCAACATAAAAGCTAAAAAGTTTCATTACACTATCAGCATTCAGCTAAAGAAGAACCTCTGAAGTGTGAAGATTTTAATTAATTCAGTGCACTGTTTAACATTTTATGTATTTAACCATCCCATCACAATTTTGGGCAGGTAACAGTTCATTTGGAGGGGATGTTATATTATAAATAGACCCTGCATTCTAAATTTCAACATACATAACAAAGACCCTTATTTGCTATCATGGGAGTCCGTAGTGCCTCCAGGAGTAATTATTGTGGGAAAACAAATGAAAGGTTTTAGATCAGTAATTAATGCATTCTAATTAGACTCATCTAAGGAGTTTGTATAAAATGCATATTCCTGGAGTCCAGATCCATGCGATTTTAATATTTTTTGGTGATGGAGCCCAAAAATCAGTATTTTGACAATTCCCCTCTCTCATGTTTGAGTTGCTCTGTGAGAACTACTCCTAGAGTATAGGGAGAACAAATCTAAGAAGAGTACAATCACTTAAAGTACTGAAATAAAGGAAACATGCTGCTAGTTTCAGAAAGTCCACACTGGTCCAAATTCAAACTTTCCACTTAAGGGAAATGTACTTTTTCATCTTGCTTTGTCTTAGAACCAAATTGCCAGTTCTACAGTCTTGCTCAGGAAAACAGTCTTGTGTCTAGGAAAGAGAAAATACCCTCTACCTTAACCTTATGTCTCTCCCAATCGTAGGGTTCCCAGGTCCTGGGATCAGAAACTCCAGCTATTACTGTCAGTACCTCAAAGGGCAAATTGATGCATGGACTGATGTGAGGACTAGCCTCCTTCCCATTCCCTACGTCTCCTGTGGGAAAATGTGCTACAATTTCAACAACTAAAAGACATGTAAATTTTTGGAATTTTATGAGTTTTGGCGGACCCAGACTTAGGTATTAATGAAAAAGATTATATTTTTATATGACAGTATTTCATAATAAAATGGATTACTCTAAAAATGCTGTTAATACTCAAAAAAGAAAGGTTTACAAAAATCCTTAGAGGTATGTTTGTTTAGTAACAAGCTCTGTTATTTCATATGTTTGACATGCATAATTTGGAGCAATTAAGAATATATCATATTCTTAAGTCCAATAAACTGTCTTGGTCCTAAAAGCTGCCTTTGGATTTGGTGGATTAATAAAATGCCTATTTAAGGAATATTGAAATGTAAATCATTTAGTAATATGTATGCTTTAAAGAAGATATGGTAAAGATTCATCAATTGAGCTTTGAGTTGGATTGATCTCAGGAGAGTCTAAAGTTCTGAGAGGATTTAACATTAAGTACAATATCTTTAATTTAGAGGGAATATAAAAAACCCAACTCCTGAAGACCAAGTCTGCCCAAAATGATGTTCACATACTATGTTTTTTGTTTGTTTGTTTACTTTTACTATAGGCCATAAACTAGTCAAGGTCATAAGATGATCATAAGAAGATTGTTTCATTGATTAATTTAACAACAATATCATTTGGTTCTGTTAGTCTGTTCTTGATTTACTCTCCCAATTAAAGAGCATTTTTATTCAGAGGCCACCTAACAGGTTGCAAAGAGGTTAGCCCTCCTGCTGGTCTTCTGCAAAATACATTCTGCAGCTGCATAGAGACAATTAGCAGAAGGGCTGGGACTGAGTTTTTGATGAAACACTTCAAGTTGGAAAAAATTTCCCCTCTTGTAAAACTTCTGTTTCATTATTGAAAGTTTATAAAAAGACAAATGGAAAAAATTGCTTTAATATGATGACTTGTAATCAATTATTTGATAAAATAGGTTTTTATTTGGAACACAACCCCATTATAAGATTAACCTGAACTAGTCTTTTTCAATTTTTAAAGCTATTTTTGTATGGGAGAAATGAAGCATTACACTTATTGTCTTTCTTTCCTTCTGTATTTTCATATGAGTGCAAATGATTCCTTCACAGAAAATATTGTAGTAATGAAAATAGAATTGTGCTATTTTGCTTGTTTTGTTAAATCATTTCTCTGTAAAAATGAAGCTTTGATGACATTTTTTCATTGCTCTTTTTCTTTCTACTCTATCAGATCAGTATGCATTCTGTCGATATATGATTGACATGTTTGTCCATGGGGATTTAAAACCAGGTATTCCAAGCAATTCTGTACATGTCTGTTTTAATAGTCTTTGTTTCTAAGATTGTTGGCTTTTTATGTACCTAACTGTATTTTCATTTTTTAAAAATTGCATAATGCATGTGTAGATCTAGAATAAAACCAATAAAAAGCGGTGGTAATAACTGGCATTAAGGCCTTAATTTTACTTTCAGTCATTGCATGGCCTATTGCAAATGAAGTCAGCTGAAATGTAAAATAAGTGCTAATATCTTTATATATAAAGAATGCTAATATCTTTAATAATGTCTTGAAGCGGTGAATCATCTTATTTTATTCTTAGTAAACTTAGAAGAAAAGACCCATGACAATGGAAGTATCCTTCTTTTCTTAGTAGTGAACACAATTCATATTAAAATCATCACATTTCAAATATTTATACTTTGTTTTCCAAAACTTTTAAATTTTCTCTCTTATACATGAACTTGGTTTAGCCACTCCAAAGAACTACTGTTGGCAATAAATAACCTTGAAATTAATGTTCAACACAATGGGGAAGGATTTTGAGTTAAAGGAATGTATCTACCTTGTCTTGTATCTTTAAATGTTGCCCAGAGTATAAAAGGTATTTTTTTTACTAACATCTGAACTAAGAATAAGTAACTTGATTGCTTGTACTATACCTTTTGCAGATTTAAAAACTGACAGAAATATGTGCATGTTTGATAAAACGTTTCCAAAAAGACAGTGTTGTTAAGGAAGGAGCTCATTTATGTTAGAATAATTGAAGCTGATTGCTTAAAGCCAGCTATATTTTTATTTTCTTAACTATTTTGTGAAAGTCTTTCTAAAATATATAATTATATATAATCATAATTTATTCATATGTTGTCAAAGAGGCATATCATATCTAAAACAATAGGTAACACATCTAGGCTCTAGAAAACTAGACGAGAATCTTTGTTCTCCAGAAAATGTCATTAATCCCAGTAATTTATTCTAGTGAAATAATTTCCTCCTCCTCCTCTTTTCCTTCTTCCACATTTTCAGTAGGAAATTTAAATGAGGGGGAAAATCCCTAAAATTATAACTTAACAGGTGAAAATAATTACTATTGATACTTGCAGATAGTAACATAGCAGAATTATAAATAAACCTTCAGGAAGGTAGTGTGATACAGGCTTTGGACAGAAATACAGTGATAATTCTTAAGTCCATCCTTTTCTAGTATTAGGCTTTGAGCAAATAATTGAATTCCACCTCATCTTTAGTGTCCTTACATTCAAAATGAAGATCATAGTCAAAACCTCGTATTGTTGATAAACCATCTAGTGACTACACAGCAAAATGTTATAACTTTAATTGGTTCATTTTACCACTGCCTGCCTGGTGAGCTCCCTACATGAAGAGAATCTCTCAACACTTACAAGTTCCAATCTATTTATATCAAAAATTCAATGTCAGGGCTGGGTGTGGTGGCTTTTATCTGTCATGCCAGTACTTCAGGAAGCTGAGGCAGGAGGATCACCTCAGACCAGGAGTTTGAGACCAGCCTGGGCAACATAGAGAGACCCCCTCACTCTGCCATCTCTACAAAAAAGAAAAATTTTTTTTGAGATGGAGTTTTATTCTCATCGCTCAGGCTGAAGTGCAATAGAGCGATCTTGGCTTATTCCACCCTCTGCCTTTTGGGTTCAAGCAATTCTCCCACCTCAGCCTCCTGAGGAGCTGGGATTACAGGTGTGTGCCACCACTCTAAGTTTTGTATTTTTTATTAGAAATGGGGTTTCACCACGTTAGTCAGGCCTATCGTAAACTCCTGAGCTCAGGTGATCCCTCCTACTCAGCCTCCCAAAGTGTTGGGATTACAGGCAGGAGCCACCATGCCCAACCAAAAAAATTTTAAAAATTAGCTGGGCATGGTGGTACACACCTGTTGTCCCAGCTACTTGGTAGGGTAAGTTGGGAAGATTGCTTGAACCCAGGAGGTTGGGGCTGCAGTGAGCTATGTGGCACCATCACATTTCATTCCAGACTACAGGGTGAGACCCTGTCTTAAAATAAATAAATAATTAAAAACTTCAATATGGCTGGGTGCAGTGGCTTACCCCTGTAATCCCAGTACTTTGGGAGGCTGAGGCAGGTGGATCACCTGAGATTGGGTGTTTGAGACTAGTCTGGCCAACATAGTGAAACCCTGTCTTTACTAAAAATGCAAAAATTAGCTGGGCATGGTGGTGAGTGCCTGTAATCCTAGCCACTTGGGAGACTGAGGCAGGAGAATTGCTTGAACCTGGGAGGCAGAGGTTGCAGTGAGCAAAGATTGTGCCACTGCACTCCAGCCTTGGCAACAGAGCAAGACTCTGTCTCAAAAAAAAAAAAAAAAAAGTTCAATTTTAGGTCAAAGTTTTGCTGACCATTTTCTTCACCTGTGTTGGTTCAAGAAAGTCATGCTCTACACATAATTTTTATAAGGTCAACTAGGTGTTTACTTACATAAGAGATGAGATGAATCTATGTTGTTGATGAGCATAAATTAATAAATGACTAACATGCATTATTTTCTTTATATTCCATTAGTTTTAAATTTTCATTATTTGAAGAAAACAATGTGCTTTCTGTGCCACTGAAATTAGTCATAGTAGTTATTTATTGATTATAAAATATAATTCCTAAGAAAGTCTCAGGACACAGGGAACCATGCACTAAGAAATTCAATGAGGGATGCTAGTCATTTAACAGTCACAATGCAATCATTTCTTTCTGAAAATCTAACTACAGATTAACATCAGAAGAAATAATAAAATTGTCTCTGCATGAATTAAAGATGATTTTGTTAATGACTACACAGAGAGTGTCCTTCTAAAGGCATATGCAAACATATCCTAAGAAGTCCCAAGTTCAGATCTACAACACTATAGAGTATTCCAACCCCTTAAAACAATTTCCAAATTCCATAGAATTAAATTTCTTTATACCACTAATTGACTTACTAATTGATTTCTTAATTTATTTTGTCTACCTAAATTCACTATTTTGAAGGTTTAAGAAATGTGAGAAACACTTGAAAACAAACATTTCTTGTCCAGGAGCTGGAAAGGAAGAAGGGAGAGAAGGGAAGCCTATATAGTATACCTTTTGTTTCATTTAACAAACTGTATGATGTTACGTAAACATTTCTAAAGAAAGTTCAAGAATATCATCTTTGTCAGTGTGGCAATACAAAAGATGGGGTGAAAAAGCACTAAATATGACTTGCACTTTCAAAAATAAGGAATGAGAAACACAAATTTAATCTTGGCATATTAATTTAGCAAAAATGCAAGTGGTGAGACATTGACTCTAACTGACAAAGAATAAGACAATATTTGCCAAGATTATTGCTCTGTATGTATCCACTATTTATAAAACATTTGTGCTTCCATCTGTTTCTGTTTGGGATTATTGAAACACCTGTTATTGTGTAGCTAGAGTTCATTATTAATTATTGGTAATGAGTTTTAAAAACTATAATTTGATTTTCCCTCTGGGATTCAGTATTTCCTTTGTAGATTACTGTCACACTCACAAAAGCAGCCCAAATTACAGTTCTAATTTGAAAACTCTTGCTGATGAAATGTGCTGACACTATGACATAAGTCCCAAATTTTGCCTTTTAGCCCATCAAATAAAATGCTTCTGAGATATCCTTAAAATTTTTAGCTACGATTTTGTCTATAAACCTGAAGATGAATTGAATTGTTCTTTCTGATTTTCTGTAGTGAATAGTGAATGTGCACTATCCAAGGGTCAGTGATAATGCTCACTTCAATAATAGAGACCATCTTAATAAACCAGTGCAAATTATAAGGATAAGCTCATTTGGTTGTATTTAATCAAAATTCCCTTGTACTGACATATTCTATATTAAGTTGAAACGTGAAGAAAATTTGATTTAAACCTAGGAGGTGAATGCATGCTATCAAGACTGGTCCTATGGGCAACTGGCATAGAACTGTATCTACATTTTGTAATTTTAGGTATATTATGAACAGTGAAGATCTCCCCTCTCCAGAAATATTTCCTCCATTTGATGACCTAACATCTTCACCATGAGATTCTTTGGTTGTGCAAATGGTCAGTGTTATATAGGATGTGTTTTGAATAACTCAACCTGCCTTAGGGAAGAGAGAGAGAGGAGGATCAGAGAGAGATTGATAGAGAAAAAAGAGATTGATTTTGTCTTGTGGTGGCTGTCTTGAAAGTGATTAACCTTCACTTTTTTTTCCTAGGGCTTAAAGTAGTCTACTTGTCACTTACTCATGAGAAAGAACTATTAAAACTGGTCAAGACAGACATTATTTGCAACATTGAAACACAATTTATTGCTTTTTTTTCTTTTTCTCTTTTGGAAATTGATAGTACAGATGATTAAGGTATATTCCTTTACATTTATTTATTTTTATCAACCTTCCAGTAATTCCAATTTCCTTTTCAATTTTTGGGGGACTTAGCACATTTTTCTTAAGTGACAGCCATACTGATAAATTTATTCATTTAGGTAGACTATTTTTTAAAAAACACATCAGGATCTTGCTTGGCATTTTCATATTTCTTCTTCACCAACTTCTATCTGGGCTTAATAAATTGCACGAATTTCTGGGCAGAGTCACCCAAGTTAAAGAGACACATTTCTGGAAGGAAGAAATCACATGGCTCACAGACCTCTTTATATTCACTATAGATAAAGAAACCAATTTAAATGTCCAGTACAAGGACTAGGGCTGGTGTGCTTTTGCTTAGTAATTTTAATAATTTTTTTAGCTTTCATCTCTGTAGCTATTATGATTAAAGTTTAATACAAGTTAAAGTTTATCCGTTAGAAGTTATTCTACTATTAAAATTTCAGCTACTGTCTGACTTTTACTTGAGCTAAGAATGATGTCAAGGTAATTTATTCTGCTTTTTGTGCCATTTATTTTCTTTAAATTGAGCATACTCATCTACCAAAATCTTCTCTTATTGTAATAAGGTATTCTTTGGTAGCCTTATTC